GTTCCCGCTCACTGGCTGAGCGAGGCGCGGGAGCAGCACCGAGGGTTGTGATCCCATTGCCGGTCCCCGGTCTGGTACGGGGGCAACACTGAGGGTTGTGATCCATTGCCGGACACGGAAAAAGACAAAAGACAAAAAAAAAAAAAAAATAGGATTTGGCAAAATACAGCTTGCAGGCCAAATCCAGCCAGCTGACTGATCTTGTAATTCAAGTTTTATTGGAACTCAGCCACACCCATTTGTTTACATGTTGTCCATGGTTGCTTTCTTGCTGTAATGACAACCCATATGGCTCTGAAATCTCAATTTGTTTACTACCTGGCCTTTTACAGAAGAAGTTTGCCAACCCCTGCGTTAGAACATTGATACTGTGGATAAAGAAACCGAGGCTTCGTAGAGAGTATGGAGTTGGGGCAAGAAACCTGGCCCAGAGTCAGGAACCTTGAACTTCAGTGCTCCCACCTGCCTTCTTTCTCTTTTCCATTTTGGGCAAACCACCGTCTCCCATGGTCTGCAATCTTTCTTTCTTTGCCTGCAGAGTTAGCTCCAGCTGCAGCAGAGTCTTCTGCACTTCTGCCAACCTCACCGAGGCTGAGCTACTTCTGTCCGGAGTCTTTCCAGGGGCTTTGGCCAGGCAGGTGTGATTGAGGTCCTGGAGCTGCTGTTTCCTGGCCCTGTGACCTAGACAAGTCACTTCATTTCTCTAAAGCTTGGTTTCTATGTCTGCAAAAGGGGGATTGTAATAGAGCCAGCCTCATAAAGTTGTTGTGAGGATTAGTTAAAAAGTGCTTTGCAGCTCAGCGGGAAGCCAATAAATGGCTGTGCTGTGGGTCAGATGTGAACCCCAAAAGTTCACGTACTGGAAACTTATCTCCATTGTAACAGTGTTAAGAGGGTGGAAAATCCAATTATGGTATTTGAAAGGTGATTAGGCCTTTAAGAGGTGATTAGATTACGAGGACTGTGTCCTCATGAGTGGATTAATTCATTGGTGGAGTAACGTCACCCTGTGACACCCTATTCACCACGGGACCCTATAGAGAGTTCCCACCCCAAAGAAGGTCCTCACCAGATGTGTTTCCTGGGCTCTGAACTTCCCAGCCTTTGAAACTGTAAGAAATAAATTTTATTTCTTTACAAATTACTGAGTTTCGGGTACTGTATTAAAAGCAGCAGAAACAGACCAATACAGGCTGCAATAATGATGCATATTAACATTTAAAACATATTACAAAGGAATTGGCTCTGGCTGACNCTCCCTGACCCGCAGGCCCCTCCAGCGTGCCCTTTTCCACATGTAACTGTCATGATCTTCTACATCTGCTGACTTCACTAGATGTGGGCTCCCAGAGGCCAGGGTCTGTGCCCTTGTCACCTCCCTGTTCCCAGGGACCTGCAGCTCAGGCCCCTTCTTCAAGGGCACATGCAGGAGATGCACTGGGTGGGCTCTGGGGACCTGAAGCAGCTGCCCTGTGCACTCTGGCTTGGCAGAGCTCAGAATCAAGGGGCATTCAGAGTCCAAACTCTTTAACAGGACCCATGGGTCCCTGGTGACCTTTCCAGCATCTCCTTCATCTCCCACCACCTCAAACCCAGCCGCCCACTCGCACAGGACTCAGTTCCTCTGCAATCACAGAGCTGTCCTCTGGGCTGCCATCACAGAGCTGTCCTCTGAGTCTTTGCCCATGCTGTTCCCTCTGCTGGGTTGCTTTTCCCCTCCTATCTTCTACTGATCCCTGGAATTTCTCCTTTGGGTTTCAGTCTGGCTGTCACTATCTCTGAGAAGCCCTCCCTAATCCCCTTGGAAGTTTCTTCTCTAAGTTTTCATAAAACCCTGGGCTTCCCTCACTGCCCAGAGTATGGTCACCACCAGCTTCTTTGTGGTTCTTCTTGATAAGCGTGTGCTCTCAGAGGATGAGGGCTCCCCACTTCCCCCGAATTGAGCTCAGGGCCTGACCCATGTCCAATAGGTGGTTGTTGGAAAGAGGGAGAGATAGAGGAAGGGATGGATGCATGGATGGAGAGATGGATGGACAGACAGATGGATGGATGGATGAATGCATGGGTGGAGGGATGGGTGGACAGATGGATGGATAGATGGATGATTGGATGAAAATGGATGCAGGGACAGAGGGCTGGATGGACAGATGGACAGATAAGATAAGTGGATGGTTAGATGGACAGACAGTGGATGCCAGAGGGTAAAGGAGGACAGAGGAAGGTGCTCCCACCCCT